CAGTGAATCCAGACCTTCTGTTTCTGACTTCTCAGTTAGGATCTCTACAGAGTAGGTCTTTGTACAGTAGGGCAAAGCTGTTTGGAATTTGGTATCCGTTGAGTCCACGTTAGTACAGCAGATGCTTAAAAGATGCTTTGTGTATAAGGCATTGAATTTCACTGCAGAGGAGAGAAGACAGCCTTGCAACAGCCCCTAGAAGAGGCAAAAGGGAATCAGGAGATCTGAGCTTTGATTTTGTTTCTGAAACTCTCTGGCTATGTGATCTGAGCCCTTAACTTTGTGCTTCGGGTTTTTTTTTTTTTTTTTTTTTTTTTTTTTTTTTTCTTCCACTCATAAAATTAGGAGGTAAAACTTGCATGATTCAGCCTTAAAATGGATTTCTAGGTACTACCCAGTTGGGGGTATTTTAAAAGGATTTTGCCATTTCCAGATGGCCAGCAGAGATTTATGGCATCGCAATAGAGAGGGAATGTCGGAAGTCACGGGGGCCGTCCATCCCCTTGCCCTTCCTTATTTCACCTCACCTAGCCTCTCCCGGGGTGGGGTGGGGTGTCATGAATGCAGAGTACTTGGTTCTCTAAGAAGTGGAACCCCAGAAACAGCATTTGGAACAAACCATCTTGTATAGTGGTTGAGAAGATGGTACAAAACACAAGGGCATTGCCCAATCCTCTTGTAGAGCCTGATGAGAATTCTCAAGGGCAAGTTACCCCAAACTGAAGGTCAGACACCCTAGGTTGCTCTGTTACCCTATTGTGGAGGCTCTCAAAGTGTGGCCTCCAGGCCTCTGGGCACCCTGAGGCCCTTGCAGGGGATCTGTGAGGTGCAAACTCTTTTCATAGGAATGCAAAGACATTTGCCTTTTGCAACATGTTGACATTCACCCTGATGGTGCAAAAGTGGTGCTGAACGAAACTGCTGTCACTTAGTGCCAATCAAAGAAGTGGCCTCGACCTGTCAGCAGTGTGCTCCTCAATGCCAGGACCCGCAGCAAACCGTTTAAAGAGCCAGCTTCACTGAAGAATGTTTTAGATGAAACGCTACAAATTATTAATTTTATGAAACCTCTGTACCTTCTGAGTACACATTGTTTTCCTATTCCATGTGACTAAATGAGAAACAGTGCATAAAGCACTTGCATAGATACCCAGGTGCTGTGATTGTCCTGTGTAAATAAATGCTCTTCTGCATTTCTGGAGGTCACTGGACACGTTTATTTTCCTAAACATCACTTTTACTTGAAAGAACAAATGACAGGGGTGCCTGGGTGGCTCAGTCGGTTAGGCGTCCGACTTTGGCCCAGGTCATGATCTCGTGGTCCGTGAGTTCGAACCCCGCATCGGGCTCTGTGCTGACAGCTCAGAGCCTGGAGCCTGCTTCAGATTGTGTGTCTCCCTCTCTCTCTGCCCTTCCTTTGCTCACACTCTGTCTCTCTCTCTCTCTCTCTCTCTCTCAAGAATAAATAAACATTAAAAAATTTTTAATAAAAAAAAAGAAAGAACAAGTGACAGACAAATTATGGTTATTCAGACTGGAGAATGTGGCAGACGTGTTCTCAAAAATGAAGAGAGCCTGCCATTTCAAGGAAAACAACTGACAGTATCTGTTGCCAACGATAAAATTTGAACTTTCAAGCAAACCTTAGAATTTTGGAAAACTTGTGTCTGTTACTATGAATTTGATAGCTTTCCAATACTTCAGCACTTTTCTGAAAGTGATATTAATGAATGCGATTTTTGAGATTGTACAGTGCAATATCTCAACATCTGGACCATCGGCATAACTCAGTAAGCCAAGGTTTTTTAAATGACCAACGTATGATGTTACAAAATCATTCGCTTGTAAAAGATCCTTCCAAAGTGCAAACCAATGTATTTTAATATAACAGAGTACAAGTTCACTGATAGTTTTTCATATTCTACACTGTAATTATCCTTTAAGAAAGGAGGAGTGTTGGAGGCCTGTGGGGCTCAGTCAGTTAAGTGTCAGACTTCAGCTCAGGACACGATCTTGTGCTTCATGAATTTGAGCCCCGCGTTGGACTCTATGCTGTCAACACGGAACCCGCTTCTGGATCTTCTGTCCCCGCCCCTCTCTCTCTCTGCCCCTCCTGCTTGTGTTCTCTCTCTTTCAAAAATAAATAAAGATTAAAAAAAAAAGAAACTACCATTTGTAGAGTTTTGGTGTAGTATCAAAGAAGATTATCTGTAATTAATGAAAAAGTTATTAAAATATTCTTCCCTTTTCCAGTTACATATTTGGGTGAGATAGAATTTTCCTCATATACTTCAACCAAGAAAATACCATAACAGGGAGAATGCAGAGGCAGATATGACACTCTAGGTGTCTTCGAATTAAGCAAGATATTAAAGAGATTTGCAAAAATGTGAAACAATGATGCTCTTTCGCTAAATTTCTTTTGTTTTAGATAATATAGCAATTTTCATGAAATATGTTAACACGTAATGGGTTTATTATTGGTAATTCATTATATGTTATGTTTTAAATTCATTAATAAGTAATATTTTTAAACTTGTTTTAATTTTTGATTTGGTGAATATTGCAAAATACCCATATAAGCAAAAGGATATTGAAGTTCTCAATAATTTTTAAGCATGTAAAAAGCATCTTGAAATGAAAAAGCTTGGGAACTGCTGCTCTGAGATCATTGTGGAGAAAGGGGTATTTTGGATAAGTAATTAATAAAGAGAAGGGAGACTTGATAACTATCAGTTTCTACTATTGTTGGGAAGCACCATGGCTTAATTGGGCTTAATGGCAAGGGTGGATTAATCAAGACAAAAATCTTCCCTGGAGCAGCCAAAGGGAAATCATCTGTTACCTAAGATTAGTAGAAATCACTTTGCCAGCATTGAATTTTCAAAGTCCTTATTAGACCCTCTCTGTGCCCTTTCGATTGGCTCCAATCCTCTGAGTATACAAGTCCATCCTGTCCCTCCAAGGAAGGTCTGGCCTACAATTCCTCATCAGTGTTGGCCATAGTGACTAGATGTGGGCTAGAAACCTGCCTCCCAAGTCATAGTGGATGCTACTGAGTTCAGCAATCAGCACACAGTACTTGGGAAGCCACTCCCAAGGCACTAAATGGAAGACGAGAATGTCATGGTTTTATTCCTGAAAGACTTCTCTCTGTGATGGAGAAGACTCCTGAAGAAATAATCACAGTCTGATGTGATCACACTCTTCTGTACATAGTGACGAAATTTTTCCAACCAAAAATTAAGACACGCTGACATGTGACACTGGAACAATCCTGAGGGATCTAGAACACATGTCTGCTTTATTTATTAAGAAACTCCCAACAACTTCACTGAAACCTGATATAGATTTGTACTTGATTTGGCCCGAAGACCCACAAACAATGGTCTGTGCCTTTTTTTTTTTTTTTTTTTTTTTTTTTTTTGTATTTGTTTTTTTTTTGTTTGAATTCTGGGAAATAACAGCGTCAGACTAGAAAAGAACAAGAAGCTCCTTAGGATTACGAAAGATAAGTGATGGGCCCTTAACATTTTATTTCCTCTGGGCTGGCACTGGAGGAAATTTTTATCCTTCATATTTGTTCCAAGTGGTTTCTTCCCCGCCAGGCAGATTCCAACTTTGTTCACGCAGGTCTCCCACACCAGCTGAAGCAGATCAAGCTGTATCCCAGAGTGAGAAGAAGAAACTAGTGAGGAGCTTCTAAGATCCCAAGTCCTGATTACATGCGGGTAAAGTTAAACAATAGGTCTTTTGATCTGCCAAGTACCCGCTGGGTGGGCTGCTTGGGGAGCACGGAGGCTCTGGTCTGGAGCAGGTCTACTTAAGTCCCAACCGCAGACCCTTTGCTCCCCGTCTTTAGGGGCTGACTTCAGTCCCTCCTTTGAATCTCTTTCTTCCAGTCTCACTCATTTTGCCCAGCTGTGGCAACTCCAGAGCGAAATGAACAATAAAACAGACAATGAACAGAAAAATCATGCTCAGTGCCACCCACTGAGCCACACCAACATCCTACCACCCACAGTTGGCGAGAATGAGCGTCACTGGGTCTTAAAGACAGAGTCCAATTGAGAGGCAGGACAAGGAGGCCAACAACCCCTTTTCGAATTTTGGGTCCGCTACTAACTTACAGCTGATTGTGGGCAAGTCATGACATCTCTCTGATATCCAGTGAGCTCATCCACAAAAACAGGTTATTCTGAGGGTTAAATGACGTGACATATGTAACAGTGCTCGGCACACAGTAGGTCCACTATTCGTTGTTAGAGTTTTCACAGTTTTGTGTGTGATTATTCGATTAGTGTCTGTCTCCCCACTAATCTCTGAGTTGCACAAGAATGTGGGTCATGTCTCTTTTAGTTCACCAGAATATCGCTAGAGCTTAGCACAGTGCCTGGCACATGCTAGGCATTTGTTGAGACAATGACAAGAGAAAAGGGAGTTGGTAGGGTCCTGCTTAAGGATCTACCCCAAAATGGCAAGTTTGGGGCCTCCTGACAACTCTCATGGATTGCTTTTGGCTCTCTGGAGCATGGTGGCATGAGGGATTCTAGGGTGGTATCTGGAATCAGTAGAGAAAGGGTGTGCAGATAGACCACCATTATGTTTGAGGATGCCGAACGTTTGTTGACCTTGATCTGTGGAGTCAAGAGCAGGTCCCTTTTGCCAGCTATTCCCAGCACATATAGATCTATTGTATAATTTGTGGAGAAAGCCACTTTGCAGGGACTGATGTTACCAAATGCTTGACCTGAAGATAAGCAGCATGACCTTAGGAATATTTTTTTAAATCACAGATCAGAACAACACTATGCAAAGAAGCAAAAAGCATAACAGTATTATCGGCTAGCCTCAATGAATTCACTTTGTGGGAATGTGCATTTCATGAGTCAGTTGGTAAAAGCGAGCAGACCTGACACACTTTGGCTGGTGTATCCCACAGCCAGACAGAACTACACCACACACCTTCCCCCAATCCATAAAGTAGCTACTCTACTCACGAGGGTAATCCTTTGGGTGCGTCTTCTCGGACCAGTTCCCATAAAATGTGAGTCTGTACTTGGCGGTTCCACAGGCGCAGCAGTCTAGAATTGGTTTGTCCGTCACCCCATCAAACATGGAATCTGAAACAGTAGGAGAGTCACTAAGTTAGGAAGCAAATACAGGTCACTTATAAGGCAGCGCCATCTTGTCTTGTCCTGTCCTTCATACTTGGGAAAAGAAGATAAGGTGCAGTTTTCTCTGATTAATAACACTCTGAACCAGGCCAGTACTTGGGTTTATAAAGGATTTTTATATACCTCTAAGGATAGTAATTATATTTTACAAATAAAAAAGACTCAGAACTTTTGCTCTAACAATGTGAGGAGACCTGTGGGGCCAATAAGGCAGAATATTTGGGAAACCAGGGATGAAACTTTCTCAGTTATCCTTTCTTCCCACAATACAATTTTTCCACTAAATTTTAAGAGGAATATGCACGTGTGTGTTTTCTCTAAGAAATGTTTGCTGGGGTCAAATTGCCAGGACCAGAAGGAGCAGCTTTGCAGAAGAGCAGTGAGAACAAGTAGAGAGACATAAAAGATTGCTGGAAATTATTTTTTAAAATGCATATATAGGGGCGCCTGGGTGGCGCAGTCGGTTAAGCGTCCGACTTCAGCCAGGTCACGATCTCGCAGTCCGTGAGTTCGAGCCCCGCGTCAGGCTCTGGGCTGATGGCTCAGAGCCTGGAGCCTGTTTCCGATTCTGTGTCTCCCTCTCTCTCTGCCCCTCCCCCGTTCATGCTCTGTCTCTCTCTGTCCCAAAAATAAATAAAACGTTGAAAAAAAAGTTAAAAAATAAAATAAAATAAAATGCATATATAGTCACATCCCTTCTTACCAAGCTTTCAGAGACTTAGGAAGGGTGGGGTTTAGGAAAATGTTCGTAAGTTTAGGTTTACTTCTGAGCATAGAGGCAGCCAGGAAAAACTTAACAAGATTCCCTCTCTGCCTCCATTTTTATCTGTGAATAGCTGATAAGTGGGGAAAGAGAGATTACGTGAATAAATTCAGTGTTTCTGATAGTCAAGCCCACATCCCTAACTGTGCATTGTTGCTTTTAGTCTGTTCTGCTTCTTGCAAGACGAAAACAATGACTACAAATGCAACTTGCTTCAACTGCTTTTTCTTCAGTTTCTCTAGTGGTATTAACATAAAGGTTCCTTTCGCAAGTTGGACATTTTTCGTCAATATTATATAAAGAGCAATGACAGTATAAAAATCTTTTTGAGAGCCAGGAAGAGCACTGTACAAGTCTTCCTTGTGGAATTCACTGGGTTCATTTGGTTCGAACACAGAAAATCAGTGATGGGTAGAAGAAGTGAACTCTGGGTTCTAGGATGGAGATGAAAGCATGAAATATTATAATAATCACTACATTGTAGAGAGTCCTTGTATGTCCGTACATTGTCTTATTTCATCCTAGCAACCCTAGGAGGTAAGTACTCTAGTTAACACCCTTTTGCAGGTCAGTAAACTGTTAGGTAACCAGCCCAAGGTCACAGGGATAGGAGGTGTTTCAGGCAGAACCGGAGCTCAGGTCTTTTGGAGTCCAGAGCCCATGCTCTTAATCTTTGTACTGTATCACTCCCAGAAGGACCTTCTGCTGGACATGTCTGCGTTAAGTTATCAATGAGAGTAATTTGTGTGTGTGTGTGTGTGTGTGTGTGTGTGTGTGTGTGTGTGTGTGTTTCTCTTTATGCTTTTTCAAGTAAAGAAGGGTGCATTTAAAAAATGACCTGCCTTTATAGCTTCAGGATTTCTAAACAGCACCAAAGAAGAGGTCTGAAACCACCCAAAATAGAAATCACTGTCTGGCTATTTTTGTTTGGAAGAGGGCAGCGCATTGTCTGTGCTTAGGAGCAGACTCTCCATTGCTTAATGCACATGAAACCTAGGTACGATTCCTAGGTGAGCCAGTTTGATAGTTAAGGGACAATTCTTTTTGCATACATTTCCAGAAAGGTAGCATAAGTTAGTAACTCCTAAAGACTTTTTCTTCTTACATTTCCATTATTATGACCAACTATGTTGTAAAAAAACTAAATTTAGTTTTGAAAAAGGGATTCCAAGCTAAGAGATAGATGCTGGGGTTATAATTGTAGCTACCAGGCACTATTAAATGAGGGAGCAATCTCTCAAAAGACCAAAATAAGGCCAATGGGTAGCTTTACCTGATCAAAAGGGCTTTCAGATATATCAGTAAACTTAAAGATATATCCAAGAGTTCAGGGGAATACACTCATAATAAACCTCTTGGAGTTCCAAAGGAAAATTAGCTTCCATTAAAAAAAATAAAGTTTGGGGTGCCTGGGTGGCTCAGTTGTTGGGCATCTGACTTTGGTTCAAGTTGTGATCTTGCAGCTCATGGGTTCGAGCCCCCATTGGGCTCTGTGCTGACAGCTCAGAGCCTGGAGCCTGCTTTGGATTCTGTGTCTCCTCTCTCTCTGCCTCTCCCCTGCTCACGCTCTGTCTCTGTCTCTGTCTTTCTCTGCCTCTCAAAAATAAACATTAAACAATTAAAAAAAATAAATTTCTAAGTTTGAAACTAAAAACAGACATACTGTTTCCTATGAGGAAAAGCCAATTGAAAATGAACCGGGTTTTCAAAGGGCAGTGAGAACAAGCGTCAACTCACCCCTCTTCTGCTAACCACAGCCAGCCTCACCCAACATCAATGACTTCCTGCCATGTTGATCTCCTGAGCTGCCCCCTCTTCCATTTCTACCCTCCATCCATCAGCCTCCTTTTTAGCTCTCCCCTTAGTCTGTCTTTTCTCCTTATCCCTTTTCTCCCACAGTTTCCTCCCTTCTGTGAGTTCCCTCCCTGTCTCTCTCCATCGTTTGTGACATGGTATTAAAGTGAGCATGTGCACGCATGTGGTTATTATAGGTCACCTTTTTGAATATTTTATGTTTCTCTGTTCCTAATTGTAAGTAACTTAATGTTTTATGTTTCTTTTAAAAAATAATGATTGCCAGTGCCTTTTATCTTCACTGTTGTTAATTTTTCCCCCATGGATGAGCAGCTTCAACTGAGAAAAAATAACAGACACTAGTTTCTTTCCCCCCCCTTCCTTGATGGATTTGATTTGACTTACCAAGCAAGAAAGAATGTAAAGACCTTAATGAAAGAGCTGGAGATAATTAAGTAGGCATACACAGTTAAGAGAAATCCCTTTGCTCTCTGCTTATAAATTAAAGACTTTCTTAATGTGATCTGCTTTGCTAATTGTTGGATTTCCTCATAGGTCTGCTGCCTCAGGTGGGGTCGGTGGGGGGGGATCGTCCACAACTGCATGTAATGATCCTTCAGCCCAGGGCCTGCAGGACCTTTATTTTTTGTCCACCAAGGTGCTGATGGAAAACGGTTTCTTTATACATATGCATGTTTCGTCATTTCGATAGGATCTCTGCTTCACAAGTGATAACCATAGAGACTTGCACACCATTGGATTGACACTGTAACTGCAGAACTTAGCATATTTGTATGGCTTCACACAACATCAGGGCTGAGGCTTTGGCAAGTGCACGGTAGTTAATGATTGCTGTCAGTATGCGAGGGTGACAGAGAAGTGTTTCCTAAGAACCCTCAATTCTGAGAAATAAGTCTGTCCTCTGAATGTCAAACTAACAAAATCATACCACAGTGGCTGTGATTAGCCATCTGTGGGTGTAGACCAAGAGGTGGCTTGTAAATGTGTGATCCAGAACACCCTAACTCTAACCCACAGGACCTTGGTGTCATCTCATAGAGACGGGGCAGGAATGGGATTGGTCCTTTATGAACCAAGGGACTTGACAGTCAAGGTGTCCTCTGTTCGGAAAAAGGCTGAGTGACCCTATGGACAATTAAATATGAAAAGGAAAGTCCCCGAAGCCGTGTGTGGAAATGTCCACCTGGAAGCTGACCAGGGACCTCGGGTTCCAGTTCTCTGGCCCCTATGACAGGTATGTCTCCACTGCAAAGCATCCAATTCTCTCCCTTTGCTTTTTTCATGCTTTCTGAACCATCTTCCACATAGGACCTAGTTTCTGCTCTAGCTCATGCATAGGGAGCTATGCTTTGGTACACTTTGATCTACCAAAGGCAATAATGAATTGAGACACGGCCCCTTCAATGGAAAGGCAGTGGTTAAGAGCACTGGCTCTAAGGTCCAAACTCTGCCCTTGACCACTAGCTGTATGATTCTAAGTGAGCTTTTAAAACTTTTTGTGTCTCAGGCTTCTCATCTATAAAATGGGGATGATATATTTGTGCAGATCACATGAGCAAGGCATGTGAAGTGCTTAGAATAGTGCCCGGCATATAGCAAGCACTTGAAAAATATTAGCTATTATTATTATTATTTTCCCAGAATACCTTTATCAACCTTTCTTTTTCTTAGTAGCTTATGATTTGCCAGAATTTGAGAAAATTATTTCTTTGCAAAATGCCCATTGCTCTAGATGCAAATAAAAATTCTGCAAAAATGAATAGAAATGAGACAGTCAAGCTGTATAATCGTAGAACATTTTCTATTTTTATTTAGTTCTCTAATGACTTCTAAACACATTCAGATATTTAAGGTCTTAATTTTTTATGACAGATTAATAAACAAGCATCGGATACAGATAACAATAGCTAACACTTATATATATAGCACTTACTATGTGCCAAAGACGCTGTGCTTATATACATATATTAAGTCAGATAACTAGGAAGGGCAGAGGCAGGATTCAAACCCAGGCTGGATAGGAATCCAGGCCTCTCCTCTGACCTCGCCATCTACTTGATCTCTATGAGCTTTGTTAGAATGCCTTCAACCCAAGGAGAGGGCATCAATAAGCTTGCAAATCAATGGACCATATCCTTGACTGTGGTAGAATCATAAGGTCAATGCTCCCTTGGCAACCCCATCTCCTGCTTGTCTTTCTTGGAGAAAATCCACCCCCCCCCCATACTGCCCAGGTGCCACACAAGTTCTTCTAGAGATTATTCCAGAGAATCATTACAGGCATCTTAAAGGTACACAATTGTGCATTTCTTAATTAAATCTTGTGAATTATTCCAAGAAACCTCTTTAGAATAATCACTGTTTCACAAAAATAAGAAGACGACACCAATATAAGGTACATTATCTCCTACCCAGGGAATCAAGCTGAGTAATTAGAACTTAAGGCAGATCCAATTATCCACAGAACACAGCCAGATTAAAAATTAGTGCTACGTGAGGAAGCTGAACCTGGAGAAACTCAGCACAATCAGCTAATTCCTGCCACTGGACGGTTGCACTGAATGAGCCACCTTCCATTTACCTGGCCCTCCTCCACTTGCAGTTCTTACCTTGTTCACAGAGTTTCTTGGTCAGAGAGCCCTCATCTTGAAAATAAATGATGCGTTTCTGCACAATGCTGGCCCTGTTGGAAGAACAGCACAATGGTGAGGAGAGCAGGTTTGAGGCATGTCAGATCCTTGCCCGGCCACCTATGGCTGTGTGGCTTTGGGTGAGTGTCCCCAACTCTCTGTGCCTCAGTGTCTCCATTGAAAAATTGTCATTAATAATAATGCATACCTCGTGGGGTTGCTCTGAGAATGAAATCCAAAAAATGCATGTCAGGAGCACAGAACATACTTAGAAGCCACTCCATAAATGTTAGTTATTGTGTTGTCAGTGGTGGTGCTAATATTAAAAGAACTAATGGCATTTTCAGTAACTTTTCTCAATGGCTCATTTTATTCTAGTTTTGTATCAAATGATGGAAGCCATTTATAGATCAACCAAATTCAAATCAGAAAAGCATGTCAAATCCCTTTCCTGAAGGGGAGAAAAAAGAATTTAAAAATATATTTTGATGTGTTCCGAAAATGTCATTCTCTATCTTTCCTGAAAGTCTAGACGACACTGTCTCCTACATTCTGAACAAAGACAATTTCAGCTGTTACGTTTCTCTCTTAAACATGTCAAACACAGGATCTTAGAATTTGGAAAGAATATCTGGAGGTTGAAAAATTACTTGTGGCCAGTACGTATTTTCTCCTTAACCTAGGACTGCACAGACATACTACTGCTCCTTTAACCCACTCTGCTGTATGTTTTCAGCTGGCCGTGCAGACGTCGAATCCTGAAACCCAGCGTCCCTGTAACGTGAAGTCTACAATACTTAACGATGAAACAGTGCCAGTGGGTCTTGGCCCTTTGTACTGATTTTCTTCAGAAACGCTACTCAATCAAAACATAATTTTTTTACTGTGATTTGCCCTACTTAACAGAGAAAGGGATCATCAGCTCCACTACAGCAAGGCACACTGAGGGAATGATACAGTCACATGATCCGCCTGTGTCACGTGATCGCAGAGCCAGGCACGGGCCCCTGTATGCACGGCTCTGCAGAGTAGGGAGGCGGTTTTCTCGACGGCATGGGCCTAGGCCAAGATTACTTTCCAAAGAAACATCTACTCTACACCTGGTCTTGCACAAAAGAATAAAATTCAGAGCAGCCTACATATGTCTTTTATAGCCTTTCCTTACTCAAGAGAGACGAGATGTTGAAATAAATGAATGAAATCTGCTTCCCATCTCCGCAAAGCAGAGAGATAAATGGATCATTTATCCATTCTGTTGACCATCAAGCAGCAAGTTTCCTCAGGCCAAGAAAACTCTCTTGAGAATACTCATCCCAAAGCCAAATAACAAAGTCTTTTGTTAGTCAGAGCATCCCATTATCTATCACTTTAGAGTGTACTTTCCACCAGGAAGTACCTCAGAGAACTCTGTAAAGGGCAAGGGAAGTAGCCCAGGCCTGGCATTCTTGCTTCAGCTAAAGACTTCATCCTCTTTCCTACCAAAGCAGCCTCCTCCCCCATTTGTCTTCCTGTTGTATTTATTGGTATATTTTCAACAGATAGTCGTTGGAGGCCTGCATGGTAGCCAGACACTGGCCAGGGACACTGTCATGAACAAGACAGGTGGGGCGGCTTCCCATTCTCAAAGTTGACAGCAGAGTGGAGAGAAAGCACGAGACAGCTAAATCTGCAGCTAAGCATTTAACATGACCGCGATTGAGTGCTGAACGGAGAAGTCTCCAGGGTGTGGGAGAGTGTAATACAGGGGATCCCCACCAAGCCAGGAAAGATTCTCTGCAGAAAAGAAGGCTTACATTGGAAAGAGTAGGAGGTCAATAGGGCAAGTGGGAGAAAGAAATAAAGGAGAGGACATCCTTTAAAGATCCTTGAGGTGGGAGGGTCATGGCTCATGACCAGTGGTAGGTCAGGGAGGTAGTGTGAGATGAGCCGGGGAGGTGCACAGGGCCACATCACCCCGTGTCTGCAGGGGGATGGCATTTTACACCAAGCTTGATGAGATGTCTTTGATAAGTGTCTTTGATAAGAGGAATGAGATAATCAGATGTGCTCTTTTATTTTTTTATTTAAAAATTTTTTTTTTCAACGTTTATTTATTTTTGGGACAGAGAGAGACAGAGCATGAACGGGGGAGGGGCAGAGAGAGAGGGAGACACAGAATCGGAAGCAGGCTCCAGGCTCTGAGCCATCAGCCCAGAGCCCGACGCGGGGCTCGAACTTACGGACCGCGAGATCATGACCTGGCTGAAGTCGGACGCTTAACCGACTGCGCCACCCAGGCGCCCCAGATGTGCTCTTTTAAAAAGAGCACTTGGGCCATAGAGTAAAAATGAGTTGGTATGTGGTTGCAGTGTAGAGTTCCCAAGCAAATTAAATTTTACTTCAATAAAATTCTCTTGCTAAAGTGGTTCGAAAATCCTTGATCTATAGGATAAAATACAAAATTACCACTGTATTCAAGGCTTTTCACAAAATTTCCCCCAAACACCCCTCTGGCTTTGTTTGCTGCCATTTTGTATCATGGTCACTGGGTTTCAGAGTTTGAGAAGTTTATTCCCCTTGCCTGAACACCTCTTCCACTCTACTGGGCCCTTGCTGATGCTGTTTCCTTTCCCAGAATCTCCCCAAACATGCCTTTGCTAGCTAGCATCTGTAACAAATCCTTGGAATCTTCTCATAGGCAAAAGCCTATGATCATGCTTAGAAAAATTAAATCACCCCAGATTTTCAAAAGTATCATTGTAAAAGTGTTGGGGGCCAGGAAGAGAAAATATGTATTTCCTACAAGATGTTTTCATTTCCTTCATGCCTTGTTTTATGAAGTCTACAACAGCTTACCCACTCTTTTTGATAATAGTTGTAATTTCTGAGTCCTTCCTATGTGCCAGTCACTGTGCTAGGGAGGCCTTTTATGTACATTACCTTATACATCTTATGTTTTGCATATATTACAGCTCTTCAAATTCCTTCCTTATCCAAAACCCTGGGTTGGATACATTTCTGAATTCAGAGTTTTTCAGGTATTATTAGAAAGTTAAGATGATAATATACCATTAACATCCCCATAATCAAACACATCAATTTTTCTGAAACAAAATGTAAGAAAATTCATAGTAAGAGAGAAAGTAAAAACTTTATATAGCTTCATGTCAGTTTTGGTCAAGTTTAGCAAACGTATCAAAATGCTCTTATTTGTAGAACAATTCAGTTGAGAATTTGTAGCCATTTTCTCCATCACAGGTGAGGATGGCTGAATGAGGGGGGGGTTAAGTAACATGTCCACAGTCTTGAAGTTTCCCCTGTCTACCTCCAAAGCTCATGGCCTGTGCTATACCCAGCATGGTTGTAAGGGATTAAAGATAATTACATATAAAAAGTACACTTGGCGTGTGAGTTGAAATGTATTATGAAATGAGGCCTGTTTCATCCATTTTAGCATCTCATGGAACATACCATGAAGAACTGAGACTGATGGCCTCCCTGGAGCCTGGGTCATGATCAGCTGAAGTTCTCCATGAAGACTGAGCATACATTTTCATGCCTATACGTGGCCAAACCTCTGTATCCTGCCCTTTGGATTTCAAACTCTGTGCAGATCAAATGTGGGATACAAGGCTTATTCTGATCTGGCCTCATCTTTGTCTAATCCCTCCTGAGCACTCTGTCCAAGCCATATCCTATATTTGTCTTCAAAATCTCATGCCCCTGGGCCTCTGTCTATGGGACTCCTCAAGACACATGTGAGCACAGCACACGCACACACACACACACACACACACACTTCAGTTACGCAGAACTCATACCCTACTAAGATTGGTTTCTTGACTGGCTGCTTGGTTGGGTGCTCTTCTATGAGAGCCATAGCCTCTTGAGATTCTCCTACCACAGCAGTTATTATTAACTTATACTGTAACTGCCTATTTACTTTTCTATCTCCTGTGCTAGTTTATAAGCTTCTTGAGAGCAGGAACTGTATCTTACTTCCATTGATGTTAGTATTGTTGCTGTACTGGAATTCAAGAAGGAACGGAGTTTGGGGAAAAGAAGAGAATTTGAGATTGAGTGATCTGTAGGGCATGATGGTGGTCTGTCTAGTGGGTAATTAGACATAGGGACCTGTGACTCAGGAGAGATGTGAGGGGTGGGGAGTAGGGGCATGTGAGTCACTGGGGCAGAAGTAAGAGGTGAAGCTTTTGAAGCGGCAGGTGTCACCCAGGGAAAGTGTGCAGAGTGAGGAGAGGCAGGCTGAGCCCAGAACTCTGGAGAAGACCAATGTTCACCTATAGGTATACCAACAGAGACCAGGATCTGGTACGCTTGGTTGCAGAAGATGTTTCTTTTTATTCCTCATTTGGTCAACTCCTGAGAGAATTTATATTCTGAGAAAATGCATTTCATTTTGAGTCTGTTCCCATCAAAAGTATAAAACTCAGCTGAGATTTATAAATCATATTATGATTCAGAAAAATAATAGCTTTACAAGATGAGAAAGCTGTTAGTAAGAATTCCCTTAGCATTTCAAAATGACAAATTTCTCCCATCCTGTGTTACAATTTGGCAGTCCCGTTGCATAGCATTTATACACTGATACACTGAATGCTCTCTTATCATGAGAGAGCGTGTTAAGGAAATCTAAATGAAATTTCTCAGCATGTTAGCTTCTCAAACTTTGGAATATTGAGGTTCTAAACAAGTTACTAATCATTTCAAAAGTTTTCTTTTAAACCTCAAGTGGTGGAACCATCCTGGATCTCTTGGATGCTTGACCCTTTTCTGTCTGCAGGTTTTATTCATTTGCTTTTCTTTCTCTTTGGGGAATTTTCCTATTGGGATAAAGTTAGAGTTTGTTAAACTGTGAGTATGCTCCCTGCTCTCACCAGAAAGAGACAGGGAGACACCAGAAACTGAAGGACTTGGGAGAAATCAGGCCAGGAAATGACTTAAAAATTCACATGCATCATCAGTGGCCAGATGGCTGCCTTATAGAGATAATTCATGTAAGGTCCTTAATACATGCGTATTACATGAAGTAAATATTCACAATGTGGTAGCCATT